TACTGCCAGTCCACTAGTGACTACACTTTTTCTTTTTCAAGACTGCTAAGCTACTAATTTGGGTTTGTCAGGGAGCTAGCTGTCATATAAAGTGCGGTGCCCCCGCAGAGTTGAGCCAATAAGGAAACAAACAACGGTTATCTAACGGATCCAAGAAAATCCTGAACGGATAGTAAACACTAAATAGAATGCTGGAGACTGCCTTTTCTTTCTTTTATCATTATTATTATTATTATTATTTTTTTTTGTTCTTAGCAAGTCTAATGAAGTTAAGGTCATATATATCATCAGATCAGTTAAACTAGAACGAGACTGCAGGGTACCCTTTTCTTCCTTTTATCAGCATCATCATCATCATTATTATTATTAGGGTAAATTTTATATATATTGAGGGTATATATACTCTATCATCGTTAGATTTATGACACATATACGAAAGTTAGATTTTAAATTTAAATTTTGCATAATTGTCAGTCATTCAAAATTGACAGTGTATACACGGTCAATGTAGAAAAAATTAATTATTATTATTATTATTATTGTTCTTAGCAAGTCTAATGAAGCTAAGGCCATATATATGTATATATCATTAGATCAGTTAAAGTAGAAGGTGTAAAGAAAGAACATTTTAGCGGTGGTTATACTTATACATAGTCGTAACAATTTGTTTTGGAGAAAAAATTGTTATGTCAGATTTTTTTATCAATCATTTAACCAGCCCGAGATTTGAAGGATGGCTTTGTAGATATTTAAGACTGGTACATACAAGTTGTGAAATGGCTGGACTTGGCTGTACCGTACCAGGCCAGAAATTGTGATGTGGACCTTCCGGTATTCTAAGTTTCAAGTTAATTAATATGGCTGTGACTGTATTCATGTCATGTAGCAAATTTAGCAATTATTGGTTGGGCCATTTTGGCGTTTGCTTCCGATGTGTTGGATAAGATGCCGACGGAAAGAAAAGGTTGGTAGACGAGCCAGAGCAAGAGGGCGTTCTCTTTCTCTTGATACCCACCCAACAAAAAAAATAAATAAATAGATAAATTCTTCTCCTCGTCGTCCTCGATGAGATGGGACCAATATATTTTCTTGGTGGAAGCACTTGAACACTCACTAGTGAAATGTTGGAGCACAAACATCAAATTCGGGGATATGGACCCCAATGGTACGGGCGAGCAAAGCCTGAAAAGTCACGCTTGAATCTCATGCGCATTTCATTTCTTTTGGTTTAGTTTATTGATTCTCGCTAATCGCTCTTCCCCAATCCCAATTATCCATAGGCAACATTCTGGACTTAGCATGGAACGTTACGTTAAAGAATCGCCCTGCAAATTCCACCATACTCGAGATCTTGATTTGGCGCGAAACGCTGAGTCGGTTCCAGTGATTGCTATCAAGAGTTTTCCAAACAATGCGGATCTACAATTACATGGAGTAATCAGTGAACCAGGCCTTCATGAAGTCTTGATCCCGCAAATAAACACACAGTTCCCCCCCCCCCCCTCTCTCTCTCTCTATGCGTGTGTTTGTGTGTGTGCTTATTCTATTGAATCCAAATTCTCCCAGCTTAACCATTTAACGAACTAAAATCACATGGCCTGTTTAGAATATTACCACATAAATCCCTGCAAAACACTAGACCCTACATCTGATGATTTCGAGTGAAAATGGCAGAACATTCCAACCTCTGAATTGCTGATAAAATGGTGGCTTAGATAGTTAAAGTTGCAAACTTGCAATCACCAATGAGCGAAGTCTTTTGCATTCAAGATGCCAATGTTCTCAAACTGACTTTTATGAGTATATCCTTACCATCTTACACTTCTTCTTTTTTGAGTATACCAGTCATCAGGGGACTAGACCTCAGAGGCTTACAAGTTATAACTGAGCTTCAAGTTGAAGCTCCGCTCTTTCCTGAATTTCATTCATAGTCCATGACTCCATGATACTGAATAGCACAAAGCACACCACAGACTCCAAAGAATGCAAAATGCAACAGCTCACCTAGGCACAGATTGACTCGCAATGCTGCCCATGGAACCAGCCCAAGCACAGCTCCTCCATAAATATAGGAAGAGGAGAAAAAATATAACAATCTTCCTAGTTTAGCCAATCTCCAAAATCAATAATATGCTTTCAGCAGACCACCCAAATGCAGACATCAAATATAAATTTTCCACGCTAAAATCCACGGGCTGACCCAATGAGTCATTGATCACCAAAAAATATGCATTTACCAAAGCCACAAGAAAGAGCAGAAGAATCTCAACTTCAAGTTATTTTATTCTTGCGTGAAGTTTTAGTACCTCTTCTATTTTGCATAGCAATATTTCTCCCATGAAATGAGGATTTGCCTTCCTCATTGTGTTTTATGGTTCTCTTTCGGTCTCCTTCAAGATGCCTATCCTTCCTTGGTTCTTTGAAAAGTTTCTCAAGCTTAGGATCCCTAGCAAATCCTTTAGATCTCATCTCATTGTAAAATTCTCTAGCCTTGACCAATAATCCGCATTTAGCTAACCCTTCAACCAGAACTCTGTAATGTGCTAAATCAGGCAATATCTCATAGTGCCTCATTTCCAGCCATACCTTCAGGGCACTTTCAGGTTGCTTCAATTCAAAGAATTTTCCCAGAATTTGGAGAAAGGTATTCCCGTTTGGACCAAGACCGGCTTTACTCATATGATTAAGAACTTCAAAAGCTCTTTCTAAACTTGCACCAGTAAGAAATGCATGGTATGTATCAATAGTTGGACTGACATTGTCCTCTATCATCATAGCCAGTACCATTCTTGCCTCCTCGAGTTTCATATCTCCACAAAGAGGGCTTATGATGTTGTTGTATGTGGTAGAATCAGGACATAGACCTGCTTCTTTCATTTTATTGAGAATGGTGAGAGATTCCTTCAAGCAGTTCTCAGAAGCCAGAACATATGCTAAAGAATTATACACCTCAATGCCAGGTTGAAAACCCCTTTTCTTCATCTCATCACACAGTCTGAGTGAGTCAAATAGATTTCTAACTTTCGCAAAACAGGAAATCAAGTGCGTATAGGACATCCCATTGGGCAAAATACAGCATTTTGACATTTCTCTCCACACTCTCTTGGCTTCGACTATATCAACTGCTATATTGCACCATCCATTGAGAATTATGTTAAAGCCCTCAGTCACCAGAGGGAAGAACTTTTTGTTGAGAAACATAAATTCTTCAGCCTCCTCGATGTTTCCATGCTTGCAGAGAATGTTAAGAAATGTGAAGAATGCATCCTGATCAGGCAACAAGCAGAACTTCTCCATAGTTTCAAATGTTTTCACAGCCTTGTCAAATTGATTTGTTGCTACATACCTGGTGAATTGCAATACAAGAACAACACCAAAATAAAAAAGTTAAAATCAATTATACTGATACTGTAAAAGACTCTAAAAGAAGTCGTTTTGACTGTTAGATATAGGCAGCTTTGGCTTTCAGTGATTGGATTACTATTGTACAACAGATGGATTTTGATTCTCAATAAACTCTAGAAGGAACATGTCTACTAAATCTTTTGAACAAAACAAGTGCGACAGAAACAGAGTGACAAAATCCGTCAGTAAAATCTGTAATCACACAAGCAAAAAGGAATGCACTGCGCCACTGGCAATCGGCATGAACATGCTAGTAGCTAAACAAGATCTATGTTGGGAGTTTCTTCCGCAATGAATTTCTTCAAGCACTACAGGGAGCGACGGGAGGACGATGGAACCGGTTTTCACAATTAGGGACATCAGACTTGTACTCCAAATTAATATTGCAAATGTAATTTATATGCTACCAAATTCAACATAGCTGAAAGATGTCATTTGAAGTTTGACAGGTAGTGAGTGAATCACATCTCCTAGTTGGAATACCTGCTCTTTCTTACGGACGATCTACATTAATCAAGGAGATACAACCATCAAGACTCTGCGTTTACCTATCAATCATGATGAGCAATGCTTCTTTGGTATCCACTGAATTTTTATAAAGGTCATGAATCAAGGACCAAGCAGTACCAAACTTTGTATGGTTCCCCAGAACCCATATCATCAAACACCGAACCATTTCATCCACACAATCCCATCTTTCACCCCATTTATATAACAAGAATGCCAGCTTCCATTCTTTCCTCAAAGCAAAGATAGAGGAAAAAATCAAATCTTTATTGGGTTTAACGCCTCCCTTATCAAGAAAATCCAATGCTTCATCTCCGGAATCAAAGTTCTTAGCTTTTTGGATTAACTCAGTCAATTCACTGAGACCCACTTGAGCATTTTCACGGGTTTCTTTTACACACTCACGGAAGTTGATGACATCATAGACGTGTCGTTGGTCAGAACTATGGGATGCGGAGAAATGGAGGCTCTGTAGACTGGAGTGACAAGGGTTGATAAGCGTTTGCTGAAATGCCCCAATGGAATGATGCGACGGAGAAGCAGCTGTATAGCAAGATGAAAGTTTTTGATGAGCTAGTGGGTTCAGGAGTTGAGCCAAGAAGAGTGAGGTATGTGCTCTATGGAGTCTTCTAACATGGATAAGTAGACCTATCATTTTCAGAACTGAAGCATTTTTTAGGAGGAGAGACCTAAGAACACTTTTTAGGAGAGCACACAAAATGATACTACCCACATGTCCTCTTTCTGCCTGCAAAATAGATGCAGATTATTACATTGAGTCTTTCGCCAACCAAATTTAGAGACAAATACATATTTTTCTTTTTGGCAAAGCAGGAAAAAAAATTCTTTTGCCCAAAAAAATAAATTCTGCTTTTCTTTTATGAAGGGAGAAAACAATAAAACGGCAAAAAAAAATAAGTTATGCTTTTCTTTTATGGAGGAAATAATAAAGCAGTTGGTAAGTGTGATATCAAATTATCAATCCCTTCGCGACGAAAAATAATCTCCAAAAAGTGTCACGTGGCTAGATCAAACAAAGCACAGTGTCCCCCCAGAGCCAACACGTGCCGCCACTACAAGGCCCAGATGGCCTCTGGAGTCAAGGCTATTCACTATTTCTTTCTTTCTTCGTAGGGTTTAAGGATTTAAGCTCAAAATCAAGAAACAAAAGAGCAATAAAATTGAGGGGGAGGGTTTAAGGCTTTTCAGATAAGAAGAGAAAGAAAGAGACCGAGCTAAAGATGGCTAGTGAAACTAACAAAACAAGTGGAAGCAAGAAGAGTGGAGGAGGCAATGGTGGTTTCAGGGCTAAATTGGATCATTACCTGTATAGTGGGGAAAAGAAGCATGTCATCGCAGGCATAGCCATAATTGGCGTCCTCTTTGGGGTTCCTTGGTACCTCATGAACAAAGGTATCATCTTTTCACATTTTTCCCTTTTTTTTTTCAAAACAATTTCTCTCTGATCCTTTTAAATTTGAGGATTTTACTTGGTGCAAGTTGTGGTTGGTTTTGGAAAGATTACGTTTTTATTATCCAATTGTAAAGATTTTCGCGTCCCCAACTCCTTTTTGTGAATTTATTTGGTTACTAGAGAGGACTGTTGTTGTCGTCGTCTTTTCCTTCCCTTTTTTGTTTGGGGTGTCCCGTGTTTTGGAGACAATTCAAGTGATTAAGATGGTTTTGAAATTCGGGCATTTTTTTTTTGATTTAGTATGTGCCAATTATTGGTTTACGGGAAACAAATTGTTTTTGGGTGGAAATGTAGAAATCCTTAGCTTTAGAAAGGTGAGATTTTGCCTGAAAGATCAGGCATTATTTTACTCAATTCAAGGATAGAACATGTTCTTATGATCAGTGACCTGGGAGAATGTTCTTATGGTTCAGTTGAATAATTTGACATGAGAAAGCCAGTATAGCGGTCATTGGATTTCGAAGTATGACTAGGGAAAAATGCTTGAACTTTCTTGGACTTCAACAAGTTTTAACCATATGGAAAACATATCCGTTCTTGTTGCGACAGCAACCTCAACCCTCGTGCAGAAGTTCTTTTCCAGAGTGGTTACACATATTACGAAGTAGGCAACAATGTGATTGTAGTAGTAACTTCTGCTTCACCTAGTCGAAGTTTGGATTAACTGGAATGGATTACCCACAAGCTCTTTTTCAAGTTCGTCAGATTTCTCTCTGGGAGACATGCATACAGAATGCCTTCTCAAGGGTCTTATCATGTGGCAAATCTATGTGTTTGAATGTACTAAAATGCAGTGAATCTTGCGTGAAAGCCTTGTGGATTAAAATTGAGTTGACCCTGAACCATTGAGTAATTGTATAGCTGTTCCAAGCATTGTGTTTCAGGTTGATTGCACCAGCGCTATAAGATTTTTCTTTTATTAGATTGTGTATCAGGTTGCTCTATCCTCTCCCTATTTGCCCATGCATGGAAAGAAAATATAAATCTGCATTTTGTCACTTGTCTTCCTTTATCAGATATGCTAGGATAGTTCTTGTTGGAATTCTATGTCTGTGCGTTTCTTTGTGTGATCCAGATGTAATGGAGCTGATAGTCCACTGGTCTAACAAGATTGTAATGAACATGATAGATTTCAAACATGTAATTGTGGATCTCTGTCTCATTTGTCGTCTGTAAATGTTGAGAAACTAGCACGAAAGCTGTATCTCACGCTCTGCATTGGTTGCTTTCTTTCACTTACTGATCAAGCATGGAAAACTGAATTTTCTATTTATACCTGATCTTAACAAAAAATTTTCCACTTTCAGGCTCAAAACAGCAATCTCATCAGGACTATATGGAAAGAGCTGATAAAGCACGAAGTGAGAGACTTTCAAAAGGTTCATCAGCAGCTTCAACATCTTAGTGTGGGGAAAAGCTAGCTCGATGATTGTCTGATCATGGTTCATCGGACTTGCTGTTTCCTTTATACCACCCTAGTCCGTTCTATTTTTTGTGCTCAACAGAGAGTAATGGAAGCTTCATTAGGATTTTTCAGATGTTATAATGTTGCTGCACCGTTGTTTATATGTGAATTGTTAAGGCGTAGGCTCCCTTTTACATTTGATTTGACCATCATGTTCAAGAAGAGCATTTCTATTTCAAGAAATTGGAAAGCAGGAAACTTCTGCATTAATAATGAAAATCAGACGGTTGGGGGAGTCAATTGATGTGCCTTGTTGTCATGAGAAATACGGCCAGGATGCTGTTGGTTTAGAATATCACCATCTCATACTCTGCATCCGGCAAAAGGATGGATTGAAGTTTGAATGTATCCCGAAAACCGAAATTTGTTATGGTTAGAAATTCGCAGACGTGTATATTTTCTGCATACCCGATCTATGTTTCTTCTTTTGGGAGCATTCCAGTGCTTTTCGTTATCACCATGGCGTTGCTGGGGGTTCAAAGTATATTGATCGAAAAGTTAAAAAAGGGAAAGTATGAAACAGAGCAGTGAGCAGGGCCTATAAAAGAATTGAGGCAGCTTGCTCTTTTGCTATATTTCTTGGCATAGATTAGACACTCTTACAAAAATTTGATGCTAAAGGTTTGCATGACTAGCAATGCTCCTAAATTTCCTTACAGCGGCATCAGCCTTTTGTATTTGAAAAACCACAAAAATGAACAGAATATGATAATTCCACATACTGCTGTAATTATGAGGACCCACTTGAACGCATTTGGATTATCGAACAATGGTACTGTAAAATTCATGCCAAATATTCCAGCTACCACACCAAAGATGGCAACGACAAATGTTGCTGTTGTAAGTAACAACTCAAATTGTATAAGCTGGTTTCGGACATTATCCTGCAGAAAGAAATAGAATTAGTTGTCACAACTGGGTCATGCTTTATTTAAGAGCTAACGTTGAGAAACAATAACGAGTCATGTGAATTCACAATACACTCTTTATAACGCAGGACGTGTGGTTGACGAAAAATCCTTGCAATTGTTTACATTGATAGACACTTCGATGTCCTACGTACGTGATGCAAGTAAACAAAAAATTCAAACTGGGTAAAGCAATGATGACCAAACCTCGGAAACTATGTTTGACTTGCTGTGCAACGATTAGCTTACAGTCAGATATCTCAAGCGTATCCAAAGAAAATAATCGATAAGTCAACTATAAGCATACAGTCAGATATATCAAAAGTATACAAACAAAACCATCTATATAATTTTAACAAAGATGACCTGTGGTGTGTTCCAAGAATATATAATCAATATTGACTAAAATGTTCAATTTCAACTTTAAAAACTTAACAAATTAATGTTGACAGACCCTTTGAGCAGTGTGTCCACAGTTTTACCGTACGGGTAATATTAGAGATCATAGAAGAGGTATAGGTTCCATATCAATCCAAGATACATGCATATCAGTGTGCAACCTGTAGCTAAAAGACTCTTTTCACAACTTAGCCAGAGAAAGGAATGCATACCAGCTGAATGTTGATGAAATCTTCTGTGTCATCTATGTACTCCTTCAGCTGAAATCAGACAAAGAAAGTTATTCATCAACCTTTTGCCTTAAACCAACAGACAATAAAAAGCCAGCATAGGTACTTTTGACAACAGAATATACCGATGTCAACTTGTTCAAGGTGCTGTCAATAACAACAAAATAAGCTTCCAACAACATTTCGAGCTCTTCTATACTCTCATTTGCACTTTCTGAACTCCTGACACTCTCATGTCTGCTCCTTGCAATACTTAAAGTTTTCTCCAGCTTTCTGGAATCAGGAGGTGACGCAACAGGCGAGACTGGAGCAGAAATAGATTGTACACCATCACTTGACCGATATCCAAGAAGAGATTGATCACCATAAAAGGATGATTCCATTCGTCTTTTCTTCTCAGTAAGGTACATTTCAGCCATATCTCCATCATCGTCCATTAGCTGCTCTATCTCATCCCTAACCTAGATGAACGGTGGTATAAAAGAAAGACAGAGAAAACATCAGAAATGGGAAGAATGGGTTTCAATAAGATAGAAAAAATATAATAAGCACGATACCTTCTGAACTCTCCGGGTCAAAGCAACAAGTCGGCTTTTTAATCGACGAACACGCTCCAAGTTTAAGGTACTAATCTTTGATGTAAGCTCATCCAGCAGTGGGTATGCTTCAATCTCCAATTCTGCTGCCTGAATGTAATAATCAATTTTCCAACAGCTAATTATAACCATATACTGCTAAAGAAGGCATGGATAAAATTTCCTAGCACTCTTCATTAAGAGCTCAATCAATTCACGTTTCCAGCAAAGTCTTACTATTATATAGTTTAACTATTTGGTCATGGTTTCTCTTACGCACCTGAGAATCCAAAAATGTGCAAGCAGCCTCCAGAGCAACTTCAAGAGCCCGAAACTCGAAGGGCAAATAATCTGGTGAAGTATTTCCAAACATATTGTCAAAGTTCCTTCCCCTCCTGCTCGAATCACTACCTTCTGTCTGCCAAACATCACTGACTCCAGCAGCGTGCAGCCGCCGTTGCAGCTCCACCACATACTGCACTACATAGTTATCTAGAGAGTTCAAAAGCAGCACCTCATCTGCTGTTATAATACATCGAATCTGCTCCAGGTTTACAACTATTGCCTTCTCTCTTCCAAGAATTGTGGATGGGTAAACAAATAATGGATCTAACAGGCGCAAATCACGGGCAGGAAGATCACAACGACGCATCATACTGAATTTGTCAACCTCAATAACTTGCGAATTCCCAAAGGAATCGACACGAATCCATGAACGAAGGCCTTGGCCACGCTTTTTGAGGCCTAGAACGTCAACACCTGGAAATGGTGGACGGCCAGATGCAGAGGGCCTATAAGATACATCTCGAAGATTTGCAGCTGATGCAGGTTTTGGGGGTAGAAGGCGTTCTTTAAGATCAGCCATTTTCTAATTCTGAGATGTGAGAGAAGAAACAGAAATCAAACCATTACTTTGCATAATGAATGCAAAAACGAACAGAAGAATGTCACAACGTACAAAATGCCAAATATTTCATGATTTCAAGTAAAACTCATCCATTCACTATCTACCCCATGCATCATGTAAGAATTAGGGAACACTGGATCTATTTGGCAGTGCATGATGCTCTATTGGAAGCATTATTACTGAAAAACTTCATCACATAACTAAGTACTTTCACTAAAAGTAAAATGCTGTATGGTTGAGCTGGAATGATGAAATTCCTTCAGGAAAAAAGAAAAAAAAAGTCATGACATCATATCTCTTGTTCAGCTTACGAGGAAAATATACATTTTATTCCACAGTAAGGACAAAATGCTCGAATGCAGATATCAATCACCTTTGAATTGTCCTAACTCCGGCAAAAAATTTTGCATAATTGTCATTCATCCAACGCTGACAGTATACACACTGTCAGTGTAGGAAATATTAATCCCTTTACTTTTCCAATGCCTAAACGCAAAGATGATCAAAGGGCTAAACTAATTCATTCAGCAGAGCTACATTTTCAACATGACACCAGCAACAATCCAAGCACCATTCCCGCCCTCATTTCTCTTCCACCCATAAGGGTCCCACAATCCCCAAAAAGGCATTAACGAAAATAACATTCCCTTCACTGTTTAAAGGAAATGCCAAATCACATTCCCAGAATCCCAGAAATCAAAAGAAAAAACCGATAACTGAAATAGATGCTATTTTCCAATTGACAATCATACTCTTTCCAACAAAACAGCTTCAACCCCCATAGCCCTTCACTTTTTTCTTTCCACAATTCAATTATACGTAATAATATGGACAGTTCAAAATGAAAACAACACAGACAAATAGATTCAATCACAACATCCATCTCAAATGGGGACAAGTAAATTAGAAAAACAGTGTATTATTGTCAGAAATGCGATCAAATCCAAAAATTCCTCCCAAATCCGCGAAAGAGAAATTCGAACAAACTCTGCCAACTTAGCTCAATCAATTGAATTCACAGAAAGCTACGAACTCTGCAACATACCTCCAGAAGAGGAAGAAGCTAGGGTTTGGGCCAAAATGCCGCCGTAGCTGCCTCCACCGTAATATTACGTAAGACAATTATAAAATTCTTTACACTGTTGCATCGGCAACTCGAGAAACAAAAGAACAGAAAAAAAAATCCCCCCGGGGCTCGTGGGCTTATTTTATCTGAATCATCATTCTCGTCAGGAAGGGTACAAGAATCTTGATTGCCTTCCAAGAATCTTGATTGCCTTCCTCGGAGAGAAAGGAAGGAACTTCTCAGTAAAACGACCTCGTAACTTGGTCGCTTTGATTGACGTCAGCCTTTCATAAAGCCGGAGCTACAGCTACTACTTACCGAAGCAATCATAAGCTTGTTATTGTTACTATTATAGTAGTTTTTCTTTTTTGGAGACTATTGTAGTAATTAATGTATAACAATGGATTATTTTCCCCCATTTTCTTGGCAGTGAAGTGTTTTGGCGTCCGCTGTTTTCTACCGCTTTTTATCCTAAATTCATTTCGTAATTGATATATGATCATTTTTTAAAAGAAAAATGATTAGATCCCTTTGGTAGTTAAACAAAAGATTTGGTCCATATTCATTTTCGACCCTTTAAAAGTAAGATATGACTCAAATTATATTTATTTTATCCAAAAAAAAAAAAAGATTTGACCTAATTCATACAATTTTTTGTTACTAAAAAAGTGAAATCTGACATTTTTTACATAAAAAAAATGAGTATATATTAGTCATGTGATGATTTTTAGTCTAAAACCTAGTCAAAAATTTAGATTAAAACCAAATTTTATTAATTTAAATTTGTATAGGATGTAAAGTTAATATTTTAAAAATGAAAGGAAAAAAAATCATTTGGCAAAATGTGGAAGGCGTTCTGTATTACTTTCCTTTCTTTTCAATAAGCAGTTACAAAAAATAACCATCTTAAGCCGAAGGAGTTAGAATTATGGTGTTTTTATGAGATTCTATAATTTTCGAATGGATTTGGATTTTTATTGCACGTATAAATTCCAATTGAGGAATCTTTGAGCATGAATCCATTGTTTAATTTTTTTCCCTAGTGAATAATGTCTTAATCCATGACGTATGAGGCATGATTAAATATAGATGTGATCATATGGTATTGGTAGATACAGGCCAAAAATATATAAATAAGCAATTCCTACTTTTAAGCTTTAGCTTTTGATTTTCATTGAATCTGGTGGTTTAGATTTCATTTTTCCTTCCTTTTCCACTTGTTGATTATTGTATTACGACAACAAGACGAATTATTATTATATCCTTAACCTTCCGTCTGGACTAACTTCACGCAAACTCAAGAGTTGGTTTTTAATCAAT